TATAGTCTAAAACATGTCATGTCTGGGCTGAAAATCGCTGCCCGTACGGGGGCAAGCTGTTGAACTACTCTGGTTTAGCATGTCAACTGCTACTAAATTCCCGAGAAATGGCTATGGACTAGAGATAGATCATTTCAATTTACATTTTAAGTGGACTCTACAAAGTGCACAATTCATAACAAATCGTAAGAGAAATTATCGATTAACAAATGGGATAGCTTTTGGTCGTTAAATTCTGTCTTTCTCAATGATTCAATAATTTGTCCGAATTACTGATATAACAATTTCAGTGGTGCCTCAGAATCACCACTCGAGTGCAAAGGGTTAAACAATGTGTGCGTGAAATATCCAAGACAATTACTTGACCTATTTTAATAAACACCTAACCCAGATTCAACGTGAAATGCTCACACGGAATTGTTAGTTTCTCTCGGATTATATTCGGAGAAATTTACGAAAACTGCACGCAACATCTTGCTTAGAGTTTACTATTTGATCACGGTTTCGTAGTGTGCAGTAAGCAGTAATCGTGACTGAAGAAGAGATTTCTTTCGACTCCATAAAGATTTCTCCGTCTTGTGCAGTATTTCATTTTTTATTTTTTTTTATTTTTCCCATTACTGATAAATACCTATGACTAATTAATATATATAAATTAATTATTTATTATTAATTAGTCATAGGTATTTATATATATTATTTTATATATATCATTTAGTCATAGGTATTTATTTAAATAGTAATATATATATATTATTTAGTCATAGGTATTTATTTAAATAGTAATATATATATTATTTAGTCATAGGTATTTATTTAAATAGTAATATATATATTATAATAGTAATATAATATTATTATAGTAATAATATAATATTATAATAGTAATAGTATATATTATTATGACTGATTAAAAAAAAGTCCCATTAAGATCCGAGGGAAGGACCGTTTTCTACGAGCTGACTGTTCCATTAACCGAACATAGACATGTTTCCCCGATCAATTTGGATAAATGAAGTTTCACTGAACTACAAGATCTGCGAGATCTTGGTAAGTCTCGCAATTAGATCATTGTGTGCCTACTAACGAGCAATACCGATGCGGCGAAAGTAAGATTTGAAAGCCGGCTACCGGTCTGTCGGAGCAGCACGTATCGCCATAAAATCACGAGACGATGAGTGTGTCAATGTAAAATGGAAACGACCTTCCAGTGTCAGCGACCACATTGCTCGTCCTTAGACCAACACGCAAAGATGGAGATGGCGAACGTTACGAGACAATACCAAGGACCAAGTTCGGTGGACATATATTACATACATAATTTTACACGTAGAATGTNATATTATTTAGTCATAGGTATTTATTTAAATAGTAATATATATATTATAATAGTAATATAATATTATTATAGTAATAATATAATATTATAATAGTAATAGTATATATTATTATGACTGATTAAAAAAAAGTCCCATTAAGATCCGAGGGAAGGACCGTTTTCTACGAGCTGACTGTTCCATTAACCGAACATAGACATGTTTCCCCGATCAATTTGGATAAATGAAGTTTCACTGAACTACAAGATCTGCGAGATCTTGGTAAGTCTCGCAATTAGATCATTGTGTGCCTACTAACGAGCAATACCGATGCGGCGAAAGTAAGATTTGAAAGCCGGCTACCGGTCTGTCGGAGCAGCACGTATCGCCATAAAATCACGAGACGATGAGTGTGTCAATGTAAAATGGAAACGACCTTCCAGTGTCAGCGACCACATTGCTCGTCCTTAGACCAACACGCAAAGATGGAGATGGCGAACGTTACGAGACAATACCAAGGACCAAGTTCGGTGGACATATATTACATACATAATTTTACACGTAGAATGTATGGAACAATGTACATGGTCGTTGTTTAAAAAGAAATTCGACCTTAATCACTCGTCGAAAACAATGGCAAATTTTGAAAAACTGTTTAAAATTCACCGAATAATTTTGAAATGATTACTGCTAGAAATACGAGATATTTATCCATGAACAATAACGATCAGTTTTCGAAGAAACGCATTTCGTTCGGAGCAAAAGCAAGCTTACGTAAATTATTATTAAACTAACGAAGTTTATGCTCAGAAATATTAGGGGGACTGGAAACGTTATGTCGTTTGTTTACATTAAATTCAAACAGATAAATATGCACAGAAACGACATTACTTTCCGGTCCCCCTAATACATATATTTTATATTTTTATGTGGTTTATGCTTTCTCTAATACCATGCTACTAATCTTTAATCAAAGAATAATTTAATAAGAAATCCGTCAGAAAAGTTATATCCACTGGCTAAAATCTCGTTTAAAGTTTAAACTATTAGGTTTAGGTTCAACATAGGTTTATACTTTTCTGATTCGAATTTAATATTCTTTCGATCTACAATGTGAAAAATATACTTCTCCAGTTAAGAAAAAGGAGTTGACCTTGAAATTTCGAAAACTACATTATGTACAAAGAAGATGAATACGACAACAGCAACCTACCTTAAAACTTTACATCTTTTGTATTTAATACTTTTTGATCAGTTGCATGATTTGAAAGTTATTTGGAATGGGATGTGAGTTATATGACTTACCCTATAAGAATATGGTAAATACTATAAATACTGTATCATTCGAAGAGAAAATTGCTGTATGCAGACCTTTAATAGAAAAACTGCCGATGAGAAGACTAGTTTAGAAGGCCTTTAATAAAAGATGAATTTTTCTGTTGCCCAAAAGTTGAATAAAATGTATTTCGTTTCCGTAGCTTCTCTATTGTTGCGACGTTCGAGGATCGAGTCATGTGATAATATGTTTTTTTTTTATATATCTCGTCGGGACTCATCGTTTATTATTTCGTTATCGATCCGTCCCTGCGTCTATTTGCACATGGTGACAGACGCGCGACGCAAGGCGATTGTCTACGTGACTGTCATAGCTTCCTGCCTGATGTGTCCTACATAGTAGACATATATTGTACATGTATTCTGTTGAGCTCCATCGAATCATAGTATAGTTCACTATGTTAACCCTTTGCACTCGAAGCTATTTTAATTATATTTCAAACATATTTTCTGTTCTACAGTGTTTCTATTTCATATGATTTATTGCGATTTATGCATATGAAAGCCTATCGGCAGGTACGAAACTGGCAATTTTAAGGGTCTTTTAGATATAAACGAGTCTGATACTATTACAATTATTTTGAAAAATGGTATAGCAATTTTTAGTGGCGCCTCAGAGTCGCCACTCGCCATAAGAAAAGTAGCTGCATTTGTTGGCATTATCCTCTTCGAAACAGGTATCATTGGAATTGCAGGAAATTTCGAATGACGATTCTTAGAAGATTAAGGCGCATCGTTTTTTTTGTGAAATGTTCTTGTAAAACAGAATATTAGTAATTAGATTTTTAGTGTACTTTAGTGTACTTTAGTGTATTTATTCTTTTTCTTTCACTCCGAAAACCTTCACTGCTTATTGACCCTTTGACTACGACCCTTTGAGACGCACCAGACTTACCATACGTTAATTCACAACGTACACCGTGAACGACGAACTTTTCGTTAAGAGCGCATTTCTAAGAGAGTATATTCAATTAATCAAAACACCGAATTCTTCAGCTTTTTGATCCATAAAATTTTCCGGCCGCTTATAGGCGCCTGTTGTGTCAGCGAATCGAACTAGGTTAAGCGCCTATAGGCGCCTACAGTAACGAATCAGTAGCAAGTTTTCTAAACGCCTTTAGACGCCACCAATAGTCACAGGGTTAACACTGGAACAACTGATCTTTTTGCCAAAGATATAGCTGAGTAGGTATGTTTAGAATCATTTATAATTAATATTATAAATGATTATTATAAATAATATTATTAATAAATTAATATTATGAATATTATAAATAAATAAAATAAATTTATCAATTTTGTTCAACATACTTTTTAAGGTACTCCTTCTAGACACGTTATGTTTTTCTACAGGCCTTAATGAAGCAATCGAAAATTTCAATCGATCGCCACAAACTAGTCCAGTCAAATAATAACTCTAATTTACACTCTGAGTCCAAATGGATCCCAACCCCACCGTCCGAGTGTTAAACCCTTAAAGCTCTAAGGGAAGTTTCTTGCGATTAGCGTTTCACGGTGCATGCGATCCGACTTTCAAATCAATGGAATCCGCAATTTAAAGACATCTCGAAGAACTTCTTTATGGATGATCAGTTGGCAAGTTAGAGGGACCATGATCGTATTGCGAGACACCTGTCGCGGAATTCGTATCGCATTTGGATTATTCGAACGCATTCTTCGCGCTATGAAGCAACAACGTTATTCAAACAAACCTTTGGGTAGGATAGTTCTGAATGACTATTCGTTTTTTCTAAAAAAAAACTATTCGTTTTTTGACTATTTCCGTTTGCCCTGGTAAAATTCTCGAACAACCCCGATTGGCTAACCCCGCGCGTTGGGCCTTCCCAATCAGCGTTGTTCACTTTGCCCTTTTTACCGCCTGTCGCTTACGCTGTTCGCGTATTTTCGGGACGGCGTGGTAATCGGGGAGGGGATGACGAGCTGTACGTGACAAGGTGTGGAACTTTTCCTCCGGGTCACCCGCGTCGGACCACATGGGACCCTTGGGTCGCTGGGTCTGCTTCGAGTACCCTTCGGAAACTCTCCTAATTTATGACGGTCTCCGTTAGCTATTGTGGTATCTCTAAAAAAATCTCTATCGCGAACATGCGTTGTCAAAGTTTGGGACTCGTCATCTCAAAAATAGCTTCCTCGAAGGAGAGTCATAAATTACGCTGGTCGTTTACACGAGGACTGAAGTTTCCATTGTGCGCACGACTGGTCGCTACAAACCGCATCCCGAACGATTTGTCCGGTCGGAATTTTGGCATGTTTTCGTGGGAAAGAAAATCTTTCTATCGGTTATTTGTAAATTCGATCGTGAACAATGATGTTGCGGTGTGTTCGCAGGTGTACCAGTGACAGAGGAGTCTGAGGAGACCACCACAGTTAAGCCTCTCAATAGTAATTTGACTGCTGATCCTGAGGTTCAAGGTTACTTAATAGACGATGCTCTGTCGGGAACGAAGACGCCACCGATTCCAGTGTTATTCGTCGATGTTCCGCTCCATACAGAAACAGAGCTCGGTTCGTCGATACTTCTGGCATGCAGAACCGCTAATCCTGTGGCCCAGTGCCAATGGTCCTGGCAGTCATCACCGCCGATTCATCTGCCGCTACCGGATATCAGTGAAAGTCTGCCAAGCTCGACAAGTTAGTCTTTAATTCTATAACCTTTCTATTGAAATTTGTAATACTTACAATTCTACAAGACAACGGTAAATCCACTTCCTGTTTTCTGTTAGCAAAGAATACACGAAAAACGTTGCGAGAATTGTTCGAAGCATGATGCGTAACATATTCGCTACTGTATCGTTCATATAAANAACTATTATATAAAATTATTATTATATTATTATATAATATATTATATTATATATAATATTATATTATATATAATATTATATTATATATAATATTATATTATTATATATTATTATCATATTATATTATTATTATTTTTTATTATTCACTACTGTGTCGTTCATATAAATGTGTGTAGCATAGGTGATTCACATGTAAAAAAACGAATTTTCGTTATTTATATATAGTATATTGAGTGGGTTTGATGTAGCTAGAGAGTTTGTAACGTGTAGAAAGATTTATATATTCAACACTGCAATAAATCTTAGAATTTTGCTTCATCGAATAAATCACTTTGGTTTTGTAAAATTTGTTGTTGCATAATATTAGGTCTACCGGAAAGTTCTGTCCGATAGCGTCACTTCAAGTTTCAATCCATATGCACACGTTGATTCGAGACATATATGACTATCTCTCTTTATCGTTGCATTCACACGCATGTACTCTCCTAAANTATTATATATTGCATATATTATATTGCATAATATTATATATTGCATATATTATATTGCATAATATTATATTGCATATATTATATTGTATATATTATATTGCATAATATTATATTCCATAATATTATATTGCATAATATTATATTGCATATATTATATTGCATAATATTATATTGCATAGTTGCCATCACGCTGGCAAGAAGTCATAAGTAACGATGGAAAGTATATTCTACAACAAATATTATGAAATGTATGAAAATTGTGTTATATTTCAATTCAAAAACGAACAGAACTTTCCGGTAGACCTAATATATGTCTTCTAGCAATTAAAAAGTGCGCGAGTCTAGTAATAGCATTGCACGATGTTCGTAGTTTCATATTCGAAGACCGCACTCTTGTCTCTGCGTTTCGTTCGTCTTCGAAGTTTCCCTGGGAACAGATGATAAAGCCAAGTATTTTCGTTGTAGAACCGCATCTGTAATAGATCTCACGGCAGAGAGGCGGCTATCTTATTGTTATAAAAACTGTGCGCACGATTTTCGTGCTTTCATTCTAAATATTGTCCCGCGACACACTGGAAACCTTTGAGAAACTCTATTTTCTGAGTAAGCAACCTTCTCGAAGTTTCAATTCCCTTCGAATCCTACGTTACTGGATCTCCGCCCGATTCCACTCATTGGCTCCGCCGTCTTGCACCGTCCAAGCTCGCCTCTCATTGGTCAATGTTTTTCGTTAATAATTCGTAAACAAATTCGCGGACTGCATTTGCCCAAAGGAAAAAGTTACTTCGAATGACCTCAGGATCCCATCATTTCCCGGAAGTAACATAATCCTGGGACATCCTGTACAGTCTCCTGTAAATTCCCCCAAACACGTTCGATATTTATTACATTTTTCAGCGATTTACAGCATGAACTGTTCCTAACATTAGGTCTTTTTTCACTTGATTATAGAATCGAGTTGCAACATTGTTTCGTGATAAACAAAGTTTCGAATCAATTGCTAAACACGATTTTACCACTTATTATTATTTATTACACACATTATTTTTCAAGAATGAAACAGCAGCTTGGCTATCATGGAATAGAGCGTACACTTTTCCCGAATATTTTCATATTTCGATGAAATATCCGTTATACATGGTCTTATAGCACTCGCGTGGCGTGTATTAATATATCTCGTTGTAATTTATAGCCATCGCAGCCTCGGTGATTCAGACGACAACTACGCCGACTACCAATCCGTTGCCGGTACGACAATTTCCTGCCTTCGGGAACAATAGCAACGACTGTTCCGTAAGATTCTCGAGTACGAAGCACGAGCAGACCGGATACTGGACCTGCGCTGCAAGAACTTCCACGAATGATCCTTTCACCAGTACAGAACCTGCCAAGCTAAGCATCGTCAATGAGAATCAGGGTATGGAATGTTCATTGTTTCTTGAAACCGTTGATGCAAGATCGACGTTAATATTCGATATGATCAATCGGTCGAATAACGCTTCGTGATTTGATAATTCTCGTTTCGTGTTCAGTAGCAGCCATTAACACTGATTCATGATGACATTAACATTAACATCCTTGGCGTTAACATTGCGACTGCCGAGCCTGTTTTGAAGAAATATGTTCAGGATGCCAACATTTCTTTCTTTTTAAATAGATAATAATAAGTAAAATATAATAGGTAGAAAACATTGAATAAATCCTTTGGTAATTATTTGCATTAGGAAAGACTTATTACAAAATTTTGATGACCTTGAAATACGTCGTCAAGATCAACATTCTGAACAACTTTTTGGTACACTTGTCGCCATCGCTCGGCTTTAGTTTTCGAGGTAATTGCGAAAATATATTTCAAATAAAAAAAAAGATATATATATATAATATATAAAAATATATATATTTTTTTTTATTTGAAATATATTTTCACAATGTACATATATATATTATATATATTTCCTACTTACGACACGAGGGTCATTAGTTTCTCCTGTCTTACAGTTCACATTATTCAGCTCCAGATTTGTTTACACGACGCTCCTAAGCTTTTCGTATTAAATGTTATAAAGCAGCAAAGTTGGGCACAAAGTAATTTGATTAATGATTAACGATTGTGACCAACGTGAAATCATGTTCATGATTAATGATTATGGTTACTATGTAATCAAGTAATCATGATTAATAGATAGCATAAGTAATCGAAGAAAAATGTAATCGTTGGTCATGCTTAATACAATAATCATTATTCATGTCGATTATGATTACCTAGAACATTTAGTATTCTGGTAGTTAATAATAATCCTGGATAGATTCTCGAAAATCTGCATGTATTTCATTGTCTCAATGGGGGGGGGGGGGGGGGGAAATTTTTTTTTTTAAAAAAA